TTAATGAACCATTCAACTTCAAACTACAAAAAGTGGGAACACATTGCTAACTAGAACTATAGAAAAAACTATAATCCAAAAACATCACCTCGTCATTCAACCATGTTCCTGGTGCAAGGCAGCGCAAAGTTTCTCCAGTAATATCAATATTGGAATTATCGTGACTGACCAAGACCCTCCTCCTGAAGGAATGAACAAGATAATGTTATAACAGCAATATCAACAACTCAAACATCAAAAGGAAATATAGATCAAATATACCTATTGTTGGGAAAAAATGCTCGCTTAACCTCGGCTTCTTCCTCAGGTGTGAGAGGGATAAAAGGCTCACGAGGTATCTCCTGAAAGTATAACACACTTTTAATAGGATAAAACAAGAATAAACATCCTTCCAAATCATTTTTTCCCAGTAGAACAACACTCCATTGGCCAAAAACAATAAAAACTTTTAGGCATAATAAGAAGGGTACTTCTTCCGTTGCCAAAAAAGGCAGATTCTACTCAACTTCGCAAACAAGAAAATGTATGAAGACCTGACACTCAAGTTCAATAAAACAAAGAGAACAGCTCACCTCTACAGGTTCCTTCTTCACAGGCCGCAAGGCCTTAAGCGAACCCCACCTTTTCTCATTGTACTCAATCTCAAATTCCAAAGATGTCAACTTCCTGTTCCTCCTCTCTGTATTCTTCAACAACTTCTTGTAAGCCTCAACACCCAAAACTTCAACTTCATTATTCAATGCCAATGAACCCAGCATCTTCCCTGCATCCTCCACCCCTAAATCCCCATCAATAGTAACCACTGATCTCTCCTCCAAAATCTTAACATCCCCACTTCCCAACCTCTGGTCCAAAACCGTGGACCCTCCCTCTATTCCATCCTCTTCAATGACCTCGACTTCTTCAATACTAGAATCCTCAGACACAAGTTCTTGCTCAATCTTCTCACTCTCATTATCAACATCAACCACTTCTTTCTCTTTAACCAAATACCTAATCGCACCAAACGCGCTTTGTTTCGCATGACCCAACTTTTTACTCAAAAACTTCCACATTAAATCGCCACCACCACTACCAAAAGTTCTCTTCTTTTCACTAAAATCACCACTTCTATTCTTTGACAAGCCAAATTTCTGAGGTCTACAAGGGGCGTGGACCTCTCGGCGAAACTTTGTAGCTGATTCTGGGTACCTAGAGATTCTAGAGGCAATACTGTTAGAGGAACCTAGGGTTTGGTTGTTGTATTCAGGAGTTTGATACAAAGTAGAGAATCTGGGCTTTTTAGATATGTGAAAATCTGGAGAATTTGAAAATAGGTTGTCGTTGGTATATCGGTGGTCTCTTTTGTGGTTACTACTACTTGCTAGAGCACCCATTCTTTGAGAAATCTTAAACCCATCTACAGAACAAGAATTCCCGACAAAATTAGGGTTTTGCAGCGAAGATTTGAATCGGGGGGTTTTAGAAAATTGAAAGGAAAAATAAAGTTCGGATCTTTTTGAAATTTGAGAGGGCTGATAGGAAATGTTTGATAGGGCGATTGTGATAGTGATTGTGATTTGAGACGGGGGTGGTTGTCACATTTTATTTTTGTTTCGCGGCACAGAAGACGACCTTGACCTTCTGGCAGGGTTTTCATGTTGTTTAAACTGTTGAGCTTATGATTATTTTCAAATTTTGATTAGGTTTGATTTTGCTTTTATTAAAAACGAATAGCTCCGATTTGAATTAACGAGATTTTAGGGGTTTTTTTTCTTTTTAAATTAAATTTTAATTAATCTTTATTTGGTCCGGAATCCCAAACACAACCTGTAATTTTTTTTTTTGTTAAAATAACATTTTTGAAAAATAAACTATGTTTTTATTAAAAACAATTTAGGAAAAAAATTATTCCATTCCCGCTCAAAATTGCTGCCTAATTAACCAGAAACCCAGCCAAAATAATATTTGGTTGCCCTCTCTTTCGTGACTTGCTATGGTTACTTCAAATCATTTACAAATTATTAAATACTTTTATTAATTATATTGCAATACTTATCTTACGAATCATTTACAAATTATTATTATTAATTATATTGCAATACTTATCTTACTACCAAGTAATTTGAAAATAATCTTGTATTAATACTAATTATTGATATCATTATATAATTATGATTCAATAAGTGATTTGTTTACTTTCAAAAATAAGTTCCATTACCAAAAAAAAAAAAAAGATTATAAATTATTAAAAAAGATAATTTAACTAATATTTTTAATTATAACTAATTAAGTATGATTTCAATAAAAAAAGTTATTACCCTTAAAAAAAAAGATATATATATATATATATATATATTTTTTTTTTTTCCTGGTACAAAGGAAATAAAGAAACAGAGCCAAGGAACTCTAGAAAAGCTAGGACTCATGGAGCCCGCAGGCAACAATGGCTCCTTTCCTGGCGGAGGAGAATCCCAAATCCTACAGTCACAAGACTCTTTCGCAGCCAGCTTCGCCATGAAATCTGCACACGCATTGCCTTCTTTGTAGAAATGATAAACGTTGACCTCCTAATTCTTAGCCAGGAGGCTTTTTTTTTTTTTTTTTAGTAACGAAGAAAGAAGACTAAAGAGCTATAGGGAAGCTAATTCCCACGAGATATCTGCTAGAAGAAGCTGTTGCAAGCCTTGAGTATTTGAAACAGATGACCCTGGTCTGAATCCACTAGCTAAATAATCCAGTCAACAATTTTCCCACTAAGAAAATTAGTTGCTCTGATGAAACCAAGTTCCTGCCAAACCTCCTAAGCCCTTCTGCAGTCCCCAATACAATGCCAAGTATCCTCAGCAGCAAGTTGGCAGCGGGGACATGCCTGATTGTCCGTTAACCTCCTCCTAAATCGAAGTGTGTTTGTTGGTAAACAGCCATGGAAGACGAGCCAAATTAAGTGCTTGACCTTTTCTATAGCCTTAAGCTTCACTAACCAACGCTATTTCCCCGTATCCTCCTCCATATGTCTAGATCTATTTAGAAGCCATGTATACCCAAGATGAGGAGTATAAAGTGCCAGCAATTGAATTTTCCCAGACCACACAGTCCTTTAGATCTTGCTCTACACGAATTGGGATAACTAAGATTCCAAAATGAATGTCACTAGAAATTATCTTAGATAGTGACTCCAAGTTCCATTTCCCATCAACCCCAATATCCTTCACCAATATATCTATCTCACCAATATTCACTACAGGAAGAATCAACGCTAAGCTCCCAAACTCCAGCCATTTATCATACCAGATCGACACATCTCCAGTACCAAGCCTTATTATGAATCCCTCCCTCAAATGTTTAAGAGCCCGAATGATGGATTTCCAGCTGTAAGAACTGGAATTAGAATAGTTCTGAAGCTGAACCAACAACTTATTCTTCATATATTTCTTGGGTAGCATTCGCACCCATAATTTACCAGGGCTATTCAGGAGATGCCATATCAATTTTCCTAGCAGAGATATGTTTCTAAACCTTGTTTCCCTCACACCCAAACCCCCATTGATGCGAGGACGAGTCACCATATTCTAATTAATCAAATTCCAACTCCTTCCCGTCTCTTGGTTACCCCAAATAAATTGCCTGACAATTTTATCAATTTGCATGCATGTAGCATTGGGCACCCACATGTTCTACATAGGGTAAATAGACATAGTTGTTAGGACAGATTTTGCTAGAGTAACTCTTCCTGCTGTGTTCAACAATTTACCCTTCCAATCAGCTAACCTTCCTTTAATTTTATCGATGATAAAATTAAAATGAGTCATTTTAACTCTACCTTGAATAAAGGAAAATCCCAAATATTTTCTTAGATCCCCTGCAACCTTGATTGAAGGTAATCAAGAACACTTTTCCTTCTTGCCCATGCTAACAGTCATAGATCCCATGATCCTCGACTTATCAAGGTTAGCTTTGAGGCATGAAGCACTGCAGAAGTCAGTTACCACTTTATTGATAAGTCAGACCTGAAAACATTGTGCTGAATTAAAGAGGAGAATATCATCAGCAAAAAGGAGGTGAGAAATCCTTGGCCCTCCTTTAGATACTTGCAATGGTTTTCATTGTCTCTAATTAATATTTTTAGCAATTATACAAGATGGTTCTTCGATGTAGATAACGAACAGATAAGGCTACATTAGATCTCCCTGCCTTAAACCACGAGTAGAAACAAACTAAGAAGTTTAGACCCATTCCAGAGCAAAGTTAAAGAGGAAGAATTAACACAGCACATAATCAACTTCACAATATTCTTTGGAAAGCCGAAATCCTCTGGAGTCTTCTAAAGAAAATCCCATCCCACTCTGTCATAAGCCTTCTCCAAATCAAGCTTCACTGTCAATGAACCCTTTTTGCTCTTCGAATGGTTCGTATAATGCATGATTTCTTGAGCTATCAGAGAATTTTCTGCTGTGCCCCAACCAAGAACAAAACTTCCTTGAAGAGGTCCAATAATGGAATCCAGCAAATGCCTTATTCTGTTCACTAACACCTGTGTAATAATCTTATAAATTACATTATAAAGACTAGTAGGTTAGAACTGCTTTATAGAGGTGGGATTATCCACTTTAGAAATCAGAACTACTAGAGTTTCAGCCAGTTTCCTATGAAAAGAAACATGAACAAAAACCTCTCGAACCATATTCCACACATCCTTCCCAACAATATGCCAATATTTTTTAAAGAAAAAAGCTTAAAAACCATAAGTACCTGGAGCCTTAAAAAAACCCATCTGCTTGAAGGCTGTATAAACCTCCTTATTTGACACTAAACGAACAAGACCAGCCTTCCCCTTGTCTGAGATCATAGGAAGAGCATCCAGCCCCAAATCAACGTTCCTAATTGGGCACATTTGACAAAAGAGATCTTTGAAATAGTGCAGGGCTTCTCCTTGAAATGTTTTATCCTCTGCACACCAATTTTCATTTTGGAGAAATAGGCCGTGGATTCTATTTCGTTTCCATCTCGCCATTGTCAGAGTGTGAAAGATCTTAGTGTTCCCATCACCACACTGAACCTATTTTTCTCTAGATTTTTGGTACAAGAAAAGCTCCTTTTGCTCTAGCACCATATTATACTTTTTCCATTGACGCTTTTCTAACATGGCCAAAGAATCAGTAGGTTGCTCATTTAGACAATTCTGTACTCCAACAATGCAAGCCAAAATTCTCATTTTGTTCTTGAAGATATTGCCAAAAGTAAATTTATTGAAGATGATGGAGCCATGTCTAACAATATCTAACCCTTGTAAAACGTTGTTCTCATAAACACTCCAAGCTCCAGAAACCACCTCCTAATAATCCTTATGGGTGGACCAAGCAACTTCAAAATGGAAAGGCCGCTCTCTTTTAAACATCGGTAAACCACCGCATCATAGAAGGATAGGATGATGGTCAGAATGCAGCTTACATAAATTCTCTATAAATGCCTCAGGGAACTTATCCCGCCATTCCAGATCAACGAGGGCTCTTTCTAATTTTTTTGCTAGGTGCATCACTTTAAATGTGATGGTGCCAAGTAAACTTAAAGCCTTTTGCTTCTATGTCGGTGAGATTACAAGCAGATAAAACTTCACTAAACTTCCCTGCTTTAACATGCGAAAACATTCCCCCACAGATTCTAAAGGTAGAAGGACTTCATTGAAGTCTCCAGTGAGCATCCAGGGGCCATTGACCATTGTTTTGATAAAAGTGAGTCGATCCCAGAGCTGATAATGCAAACTAGGAATGAGAGAAGCATAAAATAGAGACATGAACCAATATTGACTACCCACTTTAATCTCTATCGTGGCACATTGAGCCATGACATCTATTGTAGAAACAAAAAAAATTACCCCTTGATGTTAGCACCCAAATACCTCCAGCATTAGCTTCCACAATTACTGCAGGAAAATAGCCTAGCTGATTAGCTGGCCACTCTCCCAAGTTGAACATGAGTTTCCAATAACACGCAAATACTAGGATGATATTTCCAAATTAACTTTTTACAATGACTCTTGCTTGCGGCATTAACAACTCCACGTACATTCCAAGACCAAACAACAAAATCATCAAAACAATTCATTATAAGAAAAAGAAAAATTGAGAGGCAGACAAAACCTTCCCACCAAACTCACTATTGGTTAATCTCATTCCCTGACCCCAAGATCATCCTGGTATCACTTACTTTATCCCAAAGTTCAGTATGCAAGTATGAATTATTACTTGAGACTTCCAGGTTACTTCTCATATAAGCTGCATCTTGAAGTATCTTGCTAGGTTTATGAAAGGACATGCTATTGGCTTGGTTATGCTTAATGATGTTCTTATAAGAGTTTGCCAACATACTTTTCCCAAAAACAAAATCTTTATCCAAGGGGATAAACCCAGCTTCTTTTTCCCTTTGTCCTAAAAGGCACCCGTACGTAAGTTTTGTCCAACCCTACTAGGACCCTCTCCCTCTCTCTTTCCTCTCATGTTTCCAGACAACGCAAGGGTTCTACTATCATTTTTTTTTCCTGTTTAACTGTCCCTCCTGGTCCCATAAGGTTGGTGGCTTAATCATGAATTTCCTCTTATTTCCTTGCTCTTTTATATTTTATATTGTCAAAAAACCATCTCACCTAACAGCTTAAGCAGTTAGGTAAGGTTTTAGAATATAATTTATATTATTCTCTAACACAACTTCTCAAGTGAAAATCCTTTGAGCTTGAAACTTGTATAGGTCTACATTACCATGTATTTAATTTTTATCAAATAAATAGAGATGATAATATTCGAACTCGTAACCGTTTGATTATTAAGGCTCTGATACCATATTAAAGAATTATCTCACCTAAAAATTTAAATTATTAAATAAGATTTTAAAATATAATTTATATTATTTTCTAACACGTGTTACCAGACACATACGCTGTTTGATAAGGGGCATCATCAACTTGCTTCTCCTTCCCAATATCTTCTGGGACGGTCATAACTTCGATACATATTACTTCCCTTGTCCTTAACAAACTTCTCAAATGAAAGTTTTTTGGGCTTGAAACTTGTATAGATCTACATTATCTTATACTTAATTTTTATCAAATAAATAGGGATGATGATATTCGAACTCGTGACTATTTGATCATTAAGGCTCTGATACCATATCAAAGAACTCTCTCACCTAAAAATAAAATTCGCTTATATTTATTTTGATACATATTACTTCCCTTGTCCTTAACAATCCTATATTTACCTTTCTTAGAATTCGCTTTCCTATTTCTCACAACCACTAACCAATCTCTGTGTAATGCATGAGGAGAAGATCGAGTGACCTGATTTGCTGGATCCACATTAGAGATTATTCTATTAGGGTGCCCTCTATCCTCCACCATGGTTGTAAGGTTTTTTTATTGCCGAAACCTTTCCATTATCATGTTCAGCATACCCTTATGACTGAATCTGTACATTATTATTACTTAAACAATTCCTTGCAACATGCCCATAACATCTACATGCACTAGAAATTATATGAAGGCCTTTATACTCCACGTTATGCTAGTGGTTATGAATCCACAATTCCTTACCACCGGTTTGTCCAACTCAACTTTAATGCATGTCCTAGCGAATTTACCCCTCGTGACATTCACTATATTTATGTCATCTTTGATTGGGGCAAGAGCTGAGCCTAGAGCAAGGAGAAAACCCTTGTCGTAGAACAAGACATTCAAATAAGGAATTCTAGCCCATACTAGAGTCCAATCGATTTTGGCTGTTGTAGATACAAAGGATGGAGACCATGTTCTAAAAGTTAAATAGTGATCAAAGATCATCTATGGTCCGTCTTTCATCACCTTCATCCTATCCATTTCCTGGTTGAATTTCACTATGAAAAATCCATAACCCACATCGATTATCTCAAATCCCGTGGCAAGGTGCCATACCTTTTTGACTATGATATTCTTTTCTAAGAGCTTAACTATCAGGGAATCACACCACGAGTAACACTTCTATGAAGACCTTGTCATCTAGATGAACCTTCAGAAGCAGCTGATTTTCATCTTTATATTCGATACGACACTAACTTCTCTCTTAGCAAATCAATTTTCTCATGTATAGATGGTGGTGGTTTCGTTCCCAACACCTTATCTCTAAACAATAACTACCCCTGAAAAGATGTTCCGCTGATGTTAAATGATTTAGCACCACCATCCAAGTTTGGTGGTTTATTAGAGATAGTTTCATGTCCATTTTGTGTTCCAGAGAGTTCTGCCTCCATCTCAAAATTTACCTAAAAAATCCATTTATAGCCAGGAGGCTTCTGATATCTAAGATAGTAACTTTATATCTATGAAAATCAATTTGGCAAATCAAGCGAATGGTGGCCTCCTGAGAATCTGAGTTTCACAAGACTCTTCTATAGCCTCGATCCCAAATCAGGAGAAGGCCATGTTTCAATGCTAGAAATTCAAGAAGTAAATTAGATCCCACACCTGCAAAAACTGTAAATCCCAACTAATAAGTTCTCTATACTGTGCGAATATGACTCTCTAGAGCCAAATCTACCAGTA